TATTAATATATAATTTATAAATTCTGATTAATTTTAATTAATTATTTATGTAATATTTAATGATATAGAGAGTAAGTTATTTGATTTTTTACATATTTACTTTATAATTATAAGATAAAACTAAATTTATGTTTAAAATTATTTAATTTAATATAGCGGGTATATATTTTATTAATATGTAATTTATAAATTCTAATTAATTTAAATTTAAAAATTACAATATTTGATGATATAGATAGTAAGTTATTTGATTTTTATTACATCATTTATTAAGTATAGTTTATTAAATTCTAACTAAATTTTGATTTTAAATTATTTGATTTTAATATAGCATGTAAGTTATTTTATTAAATTATTTATTAACATATTATTATAAATCTTAACTAAATTTAATTTAAATTATTTGATTAATAATACCAGTTGGTAAATTATTTTTATTGTATAATTTATTAATATATAATCATAAATTTTGACTAAATATTATTTAATGTTGATGATATAGAAGGTTAGTTATTTGATTTATTGTATCATTATAATTTATAAAACTTCAATTAAATTTTTAATCAAATTATTTATTTAATACTTAATAATTTAGAGAGTAAATTATTTGATTTTATTGCATTATTCATTAAGTATATTTTATAAAATTCTGACTAAATTTTAAGTTTAAATTATTTGATTAATAGCAAGTAAGTTATATTTATTGTATTATTTATTAATATGTTATTATAAACTTTAAATAAATTTAATTATTTAATTTTAATATTATAGCGGGTTAGTTATTTAATTTATTACATCATAGTTTATAAAATTTTAAATTTAAATTATTTATTTAATATTTGATAATATAGAAAGTAAGTTATTTGAATTTTTATTGCTATAGCTTATAAATTTTAACTAAATTTTAAATTTAAATTATTTATTTTAAATTTAATAACATAGATGGTAAGTTTAATATTTATTATATATTTACTATATAGTTTATAAAATTTAACTAAATTTAAAATTAATATTAATTAACTTAAAATAGATACAGTGGGTAAGTTATTTTATTATAATATCTATAATGTATAATTTATAAATCATAATTAATTTAAATTTAAAATTATTTTATATTTAATGAAATAGACAGTAAGTCATTTGATCTTATTGCATTGTTTATTAAATATATTTATATAGTTCTAACTATCTTTAAATTTAAATTATTTGATTAATAATATAGAATGTAAATTATATTTATTATATTATTTATTAATATATTATTATAAATTTTAACTAAATTAAAATTTAAATTGTTGATAATTCAGATGGTAAGTTCTTTCACTATATAATTTATTAATATATAATCATACATTTTAATTAAATTTAATTATTCAATATTGATAATATAGAGAGTTAGTTATTTAATTTTTTTGCATTATTATAATTTATAAAACTTTAATTAAATTATAAATTATAAATTATTTATTTAATATTTAATATAGAAAGTAAGTTATTAATATTATTTATTATGTATAGTTTTATAAATACTAATTAAATTTTAAATTTAAATTATTTATTCAATATTAGAACATTTAAAAAGTAAATTATATAATTTTTATTGCATATTTATTATATAGTTTATAAATAAAACATTACTAAATTTAAGTTTAAAATTATTTAATATAATATAGAAAGTAAGTTATTTTATTATAATATTTATTTAATATGTAATTTATAAATCATAATTAATTTACATTTAAAATTTGTTTAATAATTTTATAGTTACTGAGAGTAAATTATTTAACCTTTATTATATTATTCATTAAGTATAGTTTATAAAACTTTAACTAAATTTTATATTTAAATTATTTGATTAATAATACAGCTAGTAAGTTATATTTATTATATCATTATAGTTTATAATATTTTAATTAAATTTTAAATTTTAAATTATTTATTTAATATTTGATGATATAGAGAGTAAGTTATTTGATATTTATTACATTAATCATTAAGTATAGTTATAATTACAAATTAAATTTAAATTTTTAAATTATTTATTTATAATAGCACTTATAGCTAGTAAGTTATTTAATTTTTATTACATATTTACTATATAGTTTATAAGATTTAATTAAATTAAAGTTTAAAATATTTTAACTTATATAGCTAAAGGGGGTAAATTAATCAACTATAATATCTATTGATATATGATTTATAAATCTTAACTAATTTAAAAATAAAATTATTTAATATTTGATAATATAGATAGTAAGTTATTTAATTTTAATGTATTATTAATTAAATATAATTTATAAAACTCTGACTAAATTTTAAATTTAAATTATTTGATTAATAATTTAGCAAGTAAGTTATATTTACTGTATTTTTATTAACTTATTATTATAAATTTTTACTAAATTAAATTTAAATTATTTGATTAATACAGTTAGTAAGTTATTTTTATTATATAATTTATTATAGGCAATTATAAATCTTAACTAAATTTAATTATTTTATATTGATAATATAGCGAGTTAGTTATTTAATTTATTATATCATTGTATATTATAAAATTTTAATTAATTTTTAAATTTTAAATTATTTATTTAATATTTGATGATATAGAGAGTAAGTTATTTGATTTTTATTGCATTATTCATTAAGTATACTTTATAAATACTGACTAAATTTTAAATTTAAATTATTTATTCAATATTAGAATTTTTTAAGAGTAAGTTATTTTAGTTTTATTGCATAGTTTAAAAACTCAACTAATTTAAATTTAAAATTATTTAACTTAATATAGTTCGTAAGTTATTTTACTATTAATATGTAATATATAATTCTGACTAATTTAAATAACATTATATAATATTTGAATGATATAGATAGTAAGTTATTTAATTTTTATTATATATTGATTATATAGTTTATAAAATACAACTAAATTTAAATTTAAAATTATTTAATTTAATATAGCGAGTAAGTTATACCTACTGTATTATTTATTATATATTATTATATTTTTTGATTAAATTTAATTATTCATTATTGATGATATAGCGGGTTAGGTTTTTGATTTTATCGTATCATGATAATTATAAGTCTTTTGACTAAAATTTAAACTTTAAATTATTTATTCATTATTTGATGATATAGAGGGTAAAGTTATTTAATTTTTATTGTATTTTAATTAAATATAGTTTATAAACTGATTAAATTTTAAAATTTAAATTATTTATTTGATATTTAATGATATATAGAGAGTGAGTTATTTTGATTTTTATTTTATTATTTACTATATAATTTATAAATCTCAACTAAATTAAATTTAAAATTATTTGATTAATAATACAGCATGTAAGTCATTTCTACAATGTTATTATTTAATATATAATTATAAATCTTAACTAAATTATAATTTAAATTATTTGATTAATAATACAGTTGGTAAGTTATTTTTACTGTGTTTACTGTATTATTTATTAACATATATTCATTAATCTTAACTAAATATAATTTTAAAATTACTCAATAATATTGTTAAAATAGTTTGTAAGTTATTTTATTAATTAATTTATTTTATATTTAAAATCATAAGTAAATTTAAATTTAAAATTATTTAATATTTGATGATATAGGCAGTGAGTTATTTGATTTTTTATATTATTCATTAAGTTATTTTATAAACTTTAACTAATTTTAAATTTTAAATTATTCAATATTTAATGGTTTAGAAAGTGAGTTTATATTATATTATTAATTTATTTTATATTTGAAACACAACTAAATCTATTTAAAATTATTCAATATTGATATAGAGAGTGAGCTATTTGAATTTTATTGCATTATTTATTTAAGTATAGTTTATAAAATTTCTACTAAATTTTAATTATTATTCAATATTTGATGATATAGAGCGTAAGTTATTTGATTTTATTGCATCATTCATTTTGTATAATTTATAAAACTTGACTAAAATTTAAGTTTAAAATTATTCAACTTAATATAGCGTGTAAGTTATTCTACTGTAGCATCTATTAATGTATGATTTAAAAATCTTGATTAATTTAAGTTTAAAATTATTTAATAATCATATAGCTACTGAGAGTAAGTTATTTCTAATGTTTTATTTAGTAATATGTAATTATAAATCTTAACTAAATTTAATTTAAAATTACTTAATAATATTATGATATAGAGGGTGGGTTGTTCATTTTTATTGCATCATTTTATTTATTATAGTTAATAAAGCTCGATTAAATTTTAATTTAAAATTATTTGACAGATGATATAGCGAGTGAGTTTTATTTTATTACATTATTTATACATGTAGTTTATAAATTAAAATTAAAATTAGTCATATATATTTCACTATACACGCTATTTTATTGTATTTTTTTTATTTACTTATAATTTATAAATATTTGACTAAATTAAATTAAAATTAAAATTATTCATTAACAAAATAGTTATTAATAAAGATAAAGCAGGTAGGTTATTTATTGTACTATTATTTTGTTTAATTTATATACTTAACTTAATATAAATTTAAAATATCGCAATAATAATGCAAGATCGTAAGTAATTTTTGTTGTATCATTGAATTTATGTATTTTATAACAAATTAATTAAATTTAAGTTAAAAATTATTCAATAAAATATAGCGTGTAAGTTATTTTTGATTTTTATTGTATCATATTTATTTTTATATATAAAAAAAAGACTAAATTTAAATTTTAAAATATTTAAAAATAATATAGCTCGTAAGTTGATTTCTATTTTATTATTAATATTATTTATAGGTAATTCATTATAATTTTTAGAAAAAAAAAGTAACGTAAATAAAATATTTTATCATAATCCAGCACATTTTATAAAAAATTCAAATTGGCACATATCTATTAGCCCAGATGGAAATTATCTCGTTACATTTGATCATGGTAATTTACAAATTATTATTATTTTACATTTTTACTGTTAATGTATCTTAATGTATTTTACTTGCAGGAATAATGAAGCTTAAAATTATTAGCTATATTCAATATAAAGAAATTAAAAATGTTAAGGAATATCAAATTAGTGAAGTTCACTTTAAAAATTATGAATCTTATAAATCTGAAGATTTAAAATGGATGTTAGCAATATCAAATAGGGATAAAAATGCCATCTTTGTTGCAATATCATGTGTAACTGAATCTGATATGAAAAAAAGTGAAAAAAATTCTTCAAATACCGAAAATGGAAAAACAGTTATTTTTAAAATTGAAAATTTAGAATGTGAGAGAATTACGATTGCTCAAGATAAAAATCTTTCTGAATATAAAGAGGAAAATTTTAAAGTTGATAATTCAGAACTCGAGGAAATTATTATTGCTCAAGATAATAATCTTTTCGAACATAAAGAGGAAAATTTTAAAGTTAATAATTTAGAACCCGAGAAAATTATTATTGCTCAAGATAAAAATCTTTCTGAATATAAAAAGGAAAATTTTGGTGGAATTATTTCTTTTGTGGATGATAAAAATGATTCTAATAAAATGGTATGCTTTATCTTTAATGTAAACGGAATCTATAGACTTGAATGTATGCTCAATAATCATTATTTAAAGAATTTTGAGCAATTTAATTATCCAAAAAAACTTATGAACGAATTAGAAGCTTTATACAAGTCCAAATCTTGTATATTCCGAATTAAAGATTGTATTTTTGATCATTATTTTCATATTGAACAATACACTGAAGGTATTGAAGTTATGCAATTATATGATTTAAAAACTATGCAAATACAACAAATTTTTAATATATATGAAGAAAAAAATTATCCTAATAAATATAGCTATTCCATATTAGCTATTTCAAAAAATAAGCAAATGATTGCTTTTTCTTCTGGATATGGAAATTTAGCTCTTTATTTAATAGAAAATGGTCTGGAAATTATTCGTAAAGATTTTGGAAAAGATACCAAAATAATTGCTTGCGAATTTATAAATGATAACAAATTAATGATAATTACGCAAGTTAAGCACGAGGCAGTAATGTCACTTTGGAATTTATATACAAATAAAGTTCAAGATTATAATGATCATTTCAAGGTAGAAGAAGATAAAGAAAGTATTTTATATAGTGCAAGGATTCCTGGTAAATATGTATTTGTTACAGAAACAGGTGAAATAAAATCTCTATATGATGATATATTCAAAATAGATAAATTGAAAAAAGAAAAACAAAGTTATTTTAAAGAATTAGTATTATACAAAGATAGTAATAAAGTAGAAGAATCAGATAAAATATTAGAATATGAAAATAAAGATCATTCAAAAAAAGTAGCGCATTCTATTATACGTAATAGAGAACCATGGATAATTGATGATTACAAAAAAATATGGGTATATCTTGATCAAAAGAAATTGGTACAGTTATACATTGGAAAATGTACAGTTCAAGTATGGCGTAAGATTGAGCAAAATGAAAAGTTTGTACTTGAATATATTTGGGTTAATGAATATCGATATGATGAAAATAATTATATTAAAATAGAAGACTTAATTGTTTATGAAATTGAGATTGGTTTTTCTCTAAAATTAAAAAATAATAATAATAATATTGATCTCAAATGGGTGGATAAAGATATTGTTGGTCATGAGAATTTAATGAGATATGCTTGCGATAGCCTTGAATATTTAAATAATCAAAGAAATAAATTAGTCGGATATGAGAACCAGCATGGTAATTATTATTTTTAATATTAATACATCTTTTTTAAAAACATAAAAAGAATAATAAATAAATGCTAACATTAATCTAATAAAAAAATAGTATTTGAAGAAATTAAGTACAATGTTTCTCATATGATTGAAAGATTTATTGGAAATTATCCTGACATTTGGAAATTGTTAGATATTCACTATGATCTTATGGCAAGCATCATAATTGGTGGCTCAAATTCACTCGTTAAATATATTTTATTTGGTCATGACAAAGTAGAACATAAATTACATATACCAAGAATAACTCGATGGACTAAATCTAAAGAAAATTCTACAAATAAAAGTAATAATCCTGATAATCCGAAAAATTCTATAAATAAAAGTGATAATATAAGTGATTATATGGAAAGTTTGAAAAATTTTAAAAATAAAAGTGATTTAAGTGATTTGCAAATAGCTATTAAATTGTGTAAACCTGGTAAGATTATCATTATTTTAAGTATTTATTTATAAAATTTAATTAATGAATATTACTTTTATAGGTCTTGAACGTAACCGTAGAATTTTGATTGTAACTTATTTACTTGAATATTATTCAAAGAATGCAACTGAACATCATGGATGGTTAATTGCTATTTCAAAAGCATTACCAGATTTATATACATATAATTTAGGTATGTATTATTATTTTTTAAAATCATTTCTTAAACTTATTTTTTATTTTTTATTTTTAATTTAAATAGAATTTTGTGTAAACGAATTATTTTATAAAAAATGCATGGAAGGTATAGAAATATCAAATATTATTGAACACACAGATATTATACCTAAATATATTCAAATCATTTTAAAAGCAAAACAAAAGTTTACAGCATTTAATCCAATCTCGAAACTTATTTCAATAAGTGAGCCAAAATTTAATTTTAAAGCTAATTTGAAGTTAAGATTAACAGAATTTTACATAAAATTTCTTCCAAAGAATTATGAAAATTATTCTCCAACTGTAAAAACAGTTCCTCTATATAATTTTACTGTTAATAATATACTTGAAAAGAATAATGACAAACCCTCTCAATTACACCCCTATCTCCAACATATTATCAAACTTTTGAAATTATTGTTCATCCCTCGAGGTTATCTTGTTACTAATTCAGCTGATGCAGAGAAATTTTCACAACTTAGTCCATTTGTACAAATAATTAGAAAAGAAAATAATAATGATATCTTTAATAATCCTGTAATGGAAGCTGTAATTGATTACAAATGGAAACCAGCAAGAAATTATTTTCTCCGACTTTTTGTTCTTTATATTTTGTTCGCGACTTGTTTTGCAGCAATTTGTGGGGCTTATGTGGCACATTCTGAAGCTACAGGATATCGTAATTTTTTATTATTTCTTATTATCCTTTTTTATTATTTAGGATGTTATTTATTAGTTGTAGAATACAGACAGTTTGAACATCATGATTGGAGAGATTACTTTACACTTTTTAATTGTATTGATTTAGCATCAATTGTCGTAGCAGTGATTGTTATGTCAGTTTATGTCACTCCTACATTTGATATGAAAAACGCATTTGCTAATGTTGTGACAACTCAAGAAATAACCATCGCGATTTCTTTTACTATGGCATTACTGTGGTTTGAATTTGTATGTATCTCGTAATCTTTTGTGACAAAAAAAAAATGTTTGAATTAAAATTAAAATTATTATATTTTTATCAAATAGATTTTATATCTTCGGTTAATATCAGGTAATATTGGAAATTGATATATGTATTTATCTTCATAATTTATAAGCGTTTAACTTTAACAAGGATTATTCTTTTAGAACCAGCAAAATATATCTATATTATGTTAAATATTATTAAAGAGACCTGGATATTTCTTGCTTTTATGATTCTTGTGATGGCAGGATTAGCACATAGTTTTTTATTATTATTGCAATATCCTGACTTTACAAATCTTACAGAAATAACAACTTCATCCACATTATTTACGGGTGATTCTAACTTCAAAATTCAAACAGATTTTGATCGAACCGAAGATAATCCAGCTAATAATTTTGTTACCTCATTTCTTTCAACATATAATTGGTTAAATGGTGGATTTTTACAACAAGATTCATGGAATTTTTGGGCGGTAAAGTTTATTACTTTCTTTGGTAGTTTTCTTTTAGTAACCATTTTACAAAATATGTTTATTGCTTTTATGGGGTAGGTTTCATTTTTTATTCCCTTCAAGTTTTTTTTTACTAAAATAAAATTAGTAAATTGATTGAATTTTCATTAGTGGTGTGTATTCTAATGCATATGAGAAAGGTCGTGTAGCTTTATTACGATTTCGTGCAGAATCGATTTCGGATTATGAGGCATTGGATGAGATATATTTCTATCCTCCGCCACCAGAACCAAAATATATTTATTATATTGGTAAATCAAAAAGTTATGAAAACTGGGATGAGAATGTCAAAAAATGTGAGAATAAAAACTTATATGATGATTATGAAAGCGAAAAGAAGAATGAAAAAGATACTAGTACCAAAATAAATGAGCTTAATGATAAGATTGTTGAACTTAATGATAAGATGAATACATTGCTTGAATATATCAAAAATAATTTATAAGGTTTGTAGTAAGATAGAAGAGGTTAATAATAAGATCGATGGATTTCTTAAAACCTAATCATTAAGTAAATTCTCAGAAATTTCGAAAATTTCAAAAGAAATTATCTAAATTGAATGTTATAAAATGCTTTAATTTATTAACGAAATTTGTTTTCTTCATATTTGACGTTTGATAAATTAAATACTTGACACTCCATCAAGTGTCGCTATAGATTTTTTTTCTTCTTATTTTGTATTTCTTCATATTTTACATATGCAGAAAATTTTTCATTAAATAACATTTTATCAGAAATTTAGGAAATTACATAGAATAATTATCTAAATTGAATAAAATGCTTTATATTTATTAACGAAATTTGTTTTTGTTTCCTTCTTTTTTTGATGTATGATAAAAACTTGACACTCCATCTAGTGTTATAGATTTTTTTTATTCTTTTTTGTATTTCTTCATATTTTACATATGTAGAAAAATTTTCATTAAATAACATTTTATAAATAAATATTTAAGTAATTATATTTTTTTTTATTTTTATTGTTTTATTGAAACATGTAATCTATTCATGAAATGCATATCTTGTTATTTATTCATAACTTCAAAATATTTTCTAAAAAAAAGAAAATAAATAAAAATAAATAATATCAAGCCAGGTTCGAAAGGTCTTATTACACCGGAAGGTAAGATATTTATTACATTTTCAATCAAATGATATTTCTTTAATAACATTGTTAAAAAAAATTATTCATTGTTAAAATTAAATTACGTCAGGTTCGATTGTCGAGATTATTAATAATGATGAAGAATTTTTTTTTGTAATACGCTTCAATACAAATAATACAAATTAAGCTTTAATTATTAACATTTATTATAAAATTATAAAATCATGTAATATTAACTTATAGAATAACGCTTGATGATGCTGTGGCACAATAAATGTGATAAGTATAACGAAGGTAACCGAAGTGTATAAATTATAAAAATATATCAATCAGCTGAGCATAATGAAAAATATGTGGTTTATTATTGTAATGCTGTAAGGAATTTAAAAAATCGTATTGATGAAAATGTAGAATTATTTCAAAGACTAATCTTATTAATTTACAAAGATTGGTTAATGTCATTGGTAAAGTTCGTAAGATTTTTTCTCAGATAGCAGGTTTAGACAATTATATTCAAGCTAGAAATCTTGAAAATATTGTTAAAGATTAAAAGTGAATTTGATTCCACTTGCACTTTTCTCTGACGGTTAATTTTAGTATTAATTCTGATAAAGCAGCCAGAGAGAATGAAATTATTAAGTCTGATATTAAGTATGATACCAAGATATGTGTGATATGCATTAAGTTATAATATGTATGTAGTCTTATTTCACCAATTCTCTTATCGTATAGTACCTTGAAACATATGCAGTGGTATAACTTACGGGAATAATATGATCTCTGAAATAGAATTTTTTTAAATGAAAATTTAAAAAATTTAATATAAATCTTTCAAATTATTATAAAGTGATTTAAATAATTTATATGAAATTTTTTAAAAATGTTTTAGTTAATTAATGTTAATTTGATACTTTATTTAAAAAATTTTTAAAATATTGTTTTTATTTGTATTTAAGAAATTAAAGTTAAAATTTAAAATATCAAAATAACTGAAATAACCAAATAATCATATAGTCATATATGATTATGCTTTGTCATGAAGAGAGTTTTGATCATGATATTACAATATAAGCTATTAATTATATAAATACATTTATAAATATTTATTATTCTTATTTTTATTATAAATTTGGCTTAAATTATAATAGATAGTATGTTAATTTAATTTATATTATTAAATTAAATTTCTATTTTTACTATATAAAACAATTATTAAATTTATTTTCTTTAAAAAACGTTAGAAGTAATCGACTCTTTGAATTTTTAGTATAGAATTATTGATTGGATCCGTTACGTGATATATTCGTCTCGTTTTGGAATATGCATGCTGCCAAGAAAAATAAATCTATAGACGTTAAAAATTAATAAGAAATAAGGTTGAAAGAGGAAAATTTCCCTTCTGTTTTGTCGTAACCTTAACAATAAACGAATATGGGAGGTTGCTATTAAAATCGAGTTACGAACATAGTAAATCAAATGATCCGAAACGTGATTTTAATAGCAAACCTGTACAAAGCGTCGACATGAGCCGGTATTTTTATTTATTAGATTAGTTTTTGCTATTGTTAATAAAAATAATTAATAAATTATACACTTTCTGCTTACATCATCTTCTTTTTAAGTAAGAAACCTTAAAGAACAGTACGCAACATTAGTTCTATTCGTTATTATTATCTGCAAATTATATTGTTTACAGTTTATTTTGACTGACTTTAGTTTCTCACCGATTAAAAAATAAAAGCAATTGATAACAATAATTGTAATTTTAAGGTCACCTGTTTCATATGACTTGAAGAATGAATTTGCCCTAATAATGTAGCACGAAAGAATCTTTGTAACGAAGTCCTTATTACATATATTGCACTGCGAACATAAATCCGTTATTAAAAGCTATCTATTACATAATTCTCTGTGGGTAGGAGAGGTGAATTGATCGAACGGAGACAGGTCCTAAGGGAAATGGTAAGTTATTTATTTTTTTATCTTTTTTTTTAAAAAAAAAATGTTTATTAAAATTTACTTATAGTTTCGGAATTTTAAGCATAATTTGAGTATTATTTTTGTATATTAAAAAATTTACTCATCATTTGAAGGTGAGTCACTATATAAAAAAGGTAAGAAAATATTAATTTATGCTTAAAAAAAGGTAATTAATGATTCTCTTCTTTTCTCTATCGAAGTAAATTTTTTTTTTTGTTTTTTGAGTATTAAATAATTAAATTTTACGATCAGATTTGCGAATGAGAAACAATTTTAAGAAATTCGGAAATTTTATTTTTGTTTGAGTTGTAATTCATACCGATGACACATGTCTACGACACAAGTCGATGTAATAACCTAAACCTTTGTATAGCGATTTGTACATTATAATTTCAAAATTCCTTAAGTCTATCAATTTTAATTTTTATTCAAATTTAAAATTTCAAAATTCCAATTTTATAGATTTCCTTTTCGGTAAGTAACCGTACAAATAATTCGTAAATTTATCAATTTTTATTAGTAATTTTACAAATATTTAATTTTCGCGTATTTAAAATTTTTATATATATTTATTGTTCTTTTTAAATAATTCAAGGAATAATTTGAAATATAATTTTTGGTATTTTTGTCTTAAATAATAAACCTTATTTATTTATATTACCGATTCTACGAAATTAAGAGGTAACGCCGCATCAAGAATTTGGACGTTACCTTGTTGGTAGTTAATCTTCACAATAGTGAATTATGGGGCGATACTAATGCTGCAGTCCATTAGCACTGATTCTACATCAATTCACATGTAAGTATTATTATGTTAATTTATAGAAGTTATGTAATTTCTTTATTATAAATCATAAAACGTTTTATTGATTATTATCTATTAAACTTATTTGTGATTTTATTGGATAAGGGAATAAGATAATTTTTAAAAAGAATAGATTTTTAAAAGAAACATGAGAATTTTACACATATGAGAGATGAATTATTATCATGTTACTTTTTTGGTTGATGAGTTGGATTCCATAATCCTGTTTCATAAACAAAATTAATATCATTTCAATGCAATAAATAACGCCGTGAAAATTCTTATGATAATAAAATCAGCGATAGTTAGTAAAAAGTATAAAATGTTGAATCTGTATTTTGCTATCCTAATTAGAGATATTAACCAAAATTTGTGCTTGTCATTTTCTATAAATCTTAATACAATTAAAAATAAAAAATGGGATACGAAAAAACGAAAAATTAATGATTTTATGTTTGCCCCGCATTTTTTGAGATTATATAATTAAGAAATATGTAAAGGTGTAAATTTTACTTAAGATTAAATCTTGAAAAAAACTTGTAAGTTCTTTATCTAGTTACGAAATCCAGTTCATCAGATGGTTGCTCGATGGTTACGACGCCAAAATCATTAATGTTGTCGTTCTTGAAGAAAATTTTAAATTCTTATTTTTTAATTGTTTTAGATGTAATTTTGACTTCCTTATCTATTAATTTTGCGCAGTACACTCAGTAAATATTATTGAATATTATTTTTTACTTGTGAATCTCGTTCAAAAATCAAAAATAAATAACATGCGTCTGAGAATCTATTCTTTGGAAATAATAATCAAATGCATACATTTTTAGGATTTATCTTTTATACTAACATTAATTACTTTTTACTATAGTTATGCTGCAACTTGAATTAATTAAACTCGCACTGTGCGGTACATTATTTCCTCTAAATACTCCTTCAGACGATAATCCAGGAATATATTGGTCTGCAAAATGACAAGTTGATTTCTATGATAATTTTTTAATGGTTAACTGAATTGCTGTCAAATTCATAAGATATTTACTTTATTATTGTACATACATCTTTATATTCATATGCAAGTTTCTACTCTTGAAATTTACGCAAGTGTCTTCAATTGCTCAGCATTTAATTTCGATCATGCTGCGTTATCTCGCTATTTTTTTGGAATCAATCAATGCATGTAATAATTTTATTATCATTCTATAAATTAAGTGCTCCCCAAATAATTTTATAAGGAATCTTGAAATAAATTTTCCATCAATTGTCAAGCTAGTTATTTATTCAATTAAAATCACTCATTTTATTTGCTACGAAGTCCATGGTCAATGCAAATCTATATCAATTTTCAAAAAAGAACTATTACATTTGGCTCATGTATCCTTCTTTGAAAGGACCAATAGACTACCACCCCTAATCTCTGTAGAAGTTGCTTCTAATACTGTCCCGGACAAACCAATGTTGTTGTTTAATTGCAGATATCAATGAATCAACGCAATTCATTGCTTATTATGTTGATCCTACAACTAATCTCTTCGTAGGCGTTATAAATATTAATTCGATT